TATATATATATATGAATCTTCGCGTTGTACCTATCCTTTTTTCTCCGCCAAATTACCTCAGCCTACCTGTGCTGAAGGTGCGCCCATTGCCTCGCAAAATAGCCACGCGCGCGTTTGTCCTCGTCTTCATATCATCAGCCGCTTCCGAAATCGCAAGAAACATGTCCATATCCAGACTATTTAGCTTATCCGGGCGATCTAATGTTACAAAGTATATCTTATCATTGTCTTCCAAGTGTTCGATTAACACTCGATCTCTAATATTGCGCACAGTCTTTGTTTTGAATTGTGTGTTCTCGGTGTTAACTTGCGCTGCTGCCTCGATTGTTGCAGAGAGAAACCGCACTGACGGCCGTTGTACAGTGGGGATCTTACGGAAAGCGGATAACATCGTGAAGTAACTTGATATGCGAAAGTGTTCTGGCAAGGTAGTTCCCAACTACTATTTAGAATAGACGAGATGTGTGTGTTTATTATTACAACACAAACAATAAAATGGTATTTTTGGCATGATCAAATGATGACTACAATGAAGTGCGAATTGGTTGTTATGTGGGGTTCACAAACTCTAAACTAAACTCTAAACTCTAAACTCTAAACTCTAAACTCTAAACTCTAAACTCTAAACTCTAAAAGCCTTAAACCTGATGATAGGACTATGCGCGCGTCTTAAAATTAAGCCAATCGAATGTAAGATCTAATGTAAATGATATTAAACTCTGTTCTTAACCCTAAACCCCAAATAAACCCAAAAAAGCACGCAATGGGCCATCGCCCGGCACATCGGCTATTCCGAATATTCGGCAATATCAGATTCGTTGTCAAGAGAGAGAGTGTCGAGTGATCGACAACAAACTAAATATATACAAACCGAGAGGCGAGAGCATGTATGGTGTGGGTGATTGGGTATGTATAGTACTGAATAGTCGTGTGCTTTTATATTCGAGAGCAGGCAACGAGATTTAGATAACTGCTGTGTTGATCTGCATATGTTTTATGAAGTTGTGGTTTATTGACAAAGAGTTCATTTATGACAAAAATTATAACAGTCACAACTCACAACTATATATATACAAGACGAAGAGTCATCCACATTCCACATACTTTAAAATACAAGTTGATACAGCCCTCTCCACCCGATTTAGATTTTAATAATTAATGTTATAGACCAGAAATTAGTTACGGGAGAAAAAGTTTGGGTTTCCCATGGTGTATGTAGATTGTCATTTAGGGTACATTTGAGTACTCCACGAGTGGACATCGTGAATCGAACGCAAGCTCGAAATCGAGATAATTGTCAACGGTAAAACATACTTATAAACGCAATATATTATAAAAAGCCTCAGCCTCAGACACTATAATCTATACTAAAAATAATATCAAAGTCCACTCGGAATATCAATACAGTATCGAATAAAGTCTGCACATTGACTATAGTGGCAACAATGCAACGTAACCCATGAATCATTTAGAAGTTCACCAAAAACAATTATGTCCCTTATGAGTATATATATATATATCTATTTCTATATCTACATCTACATCTACATCTGTTTCTATAT